AATATTTCAAATATTTACTAAATATTTCAAATATTCAATTTTATTATGTAAGTTGACTATACTCAAAAGATAATCCAATAAACAAGGGCATAACTATCACCTAAATCTTGGATAACAAGTTAATCCCTACAGGTGGGGTGTGCTACTCTTTGGTAGCCACATGTGGGCGCCACGTAATCCGACATGTTCTAAATTAGGCCCCCATATTTATGGAGGGTCCCATATAATTCTAGAAAGTATTTTATTTTGTATTTAGAATTTTTAAATATTATATTTTATTTTAAATATTAAAAAATTAATTTCTCTAAATTTATAAATCCAAATGATAAAATAAAATTTTAGGGGATCTCAAAAATTTAAATAAGTATTCTAAAAATCATATATTTATAAAATTAATTAAAATTAATTAATTTTGATGGGAATTGAATCCTGTAGATTTAAAAATTTATCAATATACGGGAAAATTCCAGCTTCAATTGCGGATCATGATCCACCTAGCTTTCTAAAACTGACCCAACAATTCCCATGACAAATAATCCACTGCAAGGGCTCATGATTAGACCACTAAAGTCAGCCAATAGGCTATGGGACACGATCGCAATTTATAAATCTCAAGTTATCCCCTAAAGAAGAAAAAAATCATGGTTCTCCAGAACATGATGCAACCACATCTCTGTGGTGCATAGAGGTAATCTCTAGTACATATACACGCTTCATCCTCATTGGCGAATATCAAAACGTCTATTTATATACATGCCGTGTGATGATATAACGATGAGATTTTAGCCTTGTCTCTAAAGGCTATTCATCATACGCAAGGGCCACACAATCCATCGGCTCTCATCAGGGCATACTCCGACCTCATCAAGGGCTACTACTAAACCCTTCTCGGTAGATCCCTATGCCCAGGTATCTTGGGGTTTTTCAAACTCGACTGACCTAGCACGTCGAGCCTAATCCGAGTATCAACAAATCACATTTGCCTACTATGGTCCACAAGAGGACCACACTCCCAGTGAGTTTATGTTTCACTATATAAAATGATCATACAAGCTCTTATAAGGCTTTTATAGGCCGCATAAACCCAACAGTTGCACATTGATTTTTTTATTTGCAAAATTCAAAAAAAATTATAAAAAATCAAAAAATAAGAAATTTATTTGCAATATCTTTTTTGTGTTTTCTATAATTTTTGCGAAGATTGGGAAGTGTTTTGGGCATGAATATTTATTTTTACAATTTTCCTTATTTTTTGATTATTTCTAAAATACTCCTAGTCACACATTGATTTTTTTTTCAAAATCCATTTTTCACTACCTTTTAACACCATTTAGATGTTATTTGTTTAATTTTCTTTTCAACATATTTTTATAAATTTTTTGAATTTTTTTCTATTTTTTTATTTTTTAACATTTTTTGGCTTGGACAAGACCTGCCCAGCTCGGGTTGAGTCACTCGGACTCGGTCCCAGTTACCTAGGGCCGGGTTCTAGGGGCGAAGTCGTGCTTTCCTACACCGGTCTACATGTTACAAGAACAATAGTAAAGAAATGCCTATCGCCTCTATACAAAGCAATTAGAATTATTTGGTTCCTTCCTAATACTTCTACACTAGTTCCAAGTTTGACCCATTATGCGCCTAGGGCTCTAACCCTCTACCACCAACTGGCTCTCTCTTATGTTGCCCTCTTTCTCTAATTTACCCCTTTCTTCTTTGCTGAATGTTGAATCCAAATAGAGGAGTCTTTGAGGGAGAGGAGAGATAGGTATTGAACTAAGGGAATGAAGGGAATAATGTTTTCATGATGCATGCTGTCTACACTCTTGGACTACGATACATAGTGTTGCCAAAGACCATGATTCAGATTATAGTACAAAAAAATACAAAGTGCAAAGCGTGCCTTTAGCCTATGCACGTGCTTGGTTGAGTTCGAGATTTGCCCAATTTTTGCTTTACATTATACTACAGTCCTTAAAGACCATGATTTGAATTAGAACAGAGAAAAATGGGAACATTTTGAAGGTTGGTGTGGCACATAGTTTGTTGTGGACCAGATACGCCTCAAACTCATGGTCTGTTGATGATCAGGTTCGCTGTGGCTCATACTCTGTCGGGAACCAGGTTCGTAGTAGCTCTTAATTCATTGCGAACCAAGGTCGTCGCGCTTATGTGTAATTGGCCAAATGTGTGATGCACATGTGCACGTATCTATCCCCTAATGTTCTATAAATACTCGTAAATTCTGATCCTTATAGCTTTGGATTTTTTTAATTTTTTATTTTTAAAAAATTCATCGATGGGTTGAAAGTTTGCAGTGCATTACTTCAAAGCACAATTTTATCCAGAATTTAAGCTCAATTTTCAAGTTACGGTTTGTTTCAAAATGAAGCTCATTGAAATATCTACCTTTTGTAGAAGAAAATCAAAGTATAGAGCCGAATCTCTAAACAATCAAATTACAGTGAACCTTTAAATAATGCTGAGAAATGTGATTTTAATACCGGAAATCTTTATGATAGATTTAAAATATATTTTCAGCTTTAATTATATAATTTAAAGCTTAAAAAATAGTAGATCGAGCAGATCTATGAAAACTTGAAATCTAGACAATTGATGGTCCAAAAATGCATTATAAGATGCACCATTTCCAAAACTTGAAATCTATTTGTTCTCATATCCAGGCATCTTGAGATCGAGATGATCAATTTGAGGATATTTGCTCATCAAAGCAACCTCTTCTAATGAAAATTGTGAGGTTCGCCCTAATTTGATTGTTTAAAGTCTCGCACATATATGAACTTTTTCCTTACCTATTAGAGGCCCAATAATTTGGAGAATTTCACGAAAATTTTTGCAAGAGAGTTCTTGGTTTGTATAGACATTTTCTACTTCTTTTCGTGTTTGAAGCAAGTTTCCTTTCTTTGGTAATTGGACGTTATTTTAGGTAAAGAATTTTGCTTTTCTAATAATCAAGCAAGAAAAGAACCGTGGATCCGCTGTACCAGAAAAGCATAAATCAAAGTCGTTGATTATATTTTTAATTTTAGCCTTTAGGATCTCCAAAATGTAGTTCTTCCATATTTTATGCGGACATTTCATGCATAAGTGTTGTTGTATAACGATGTAATGGAAGGAGAGAGGCTGTACATTGTAATCAGATTTGTTTTTGGTACAAGAACGTTATAATTACTGCTCGTTATGGGTTGAAATAGGATGGTTTGGGTTTTGCCACAGACATTACTTAAAGTCTAGGAAAAAATTTCTTGAACCTTGTACATAAACTGATACACCCTTAGCTCCACAATTTTACTTATAAAGACGGGGCTTGGTTTGTCAAAAAAAAAAAAGAAAAAAATTACAAAATAGGTTCGGCTTGGTGATTGCGCTGAGACGAAGATTCCTAAGTCGGGATTTTGGTACAACTTCAAGATTCCTTTTTTCTGTTTGGTAATTTTTGTTTGTAGATCAGGTCCAGCCTTGATCTACGAAGGTTGGAGTCAACCCTATTCC